TTTTTTTCCCCCCCCCCCCCCCCCCCCATGAGTAGTGGCCAGTTTTGGAGATAGTACTGATGTCCTGGCAGTTACAGTTAGTCCTATGTGATGCTGCAGATGGATAAGCAGCCATTCATAAAGACAAATAGTAAGGCTGTATCATTTATATCATAAATATAACATAGGCTCACTACAAGGCAGCGTAAATGCTCAACATTTTCTTTCAAAAGTGCAGACATCTTAATGGAGGCTGCAAAATGTGCCAAAAGATTTAGTACAGAGAAAGACTCCCAGCACAGCAACATGAAAGATTGCCAGAAGGTTGGCGTATCTGTTGTTTTTACCCAATGCACCATAGTCAGAGATGAGCTTCAAAGCTTTGGAAGGGGTGTGGCAACATAGAAAGAGTTAACTGCTTGGATTCAATTAGTGTCAGCAAGAGCCACTCCATCTTTGTCCCCATTTTCAAAAACATGGGGTTAACGTCAGCTTTCCTGTCAGAACAGTTCAGCATTGCTATTTTAAAAAGAAAATCAGCTAGTGTTAACCACAGTGCAAAAAGAAGGGTGAATATTATGCAGTCTGCTGGGCTTAGTGGATTTGTGAACTTACTAGTATTGCAGTTTATTACATGTGCTAGTTAGAAGAATAATGTCTTGAAAGTTATGTTGCAGGTCAGGTGTGGTAGAAACTTCTGCAGCCTGATTAAAAAAAAATTTTTCTCAAGTATGCACTGTACAAAACTATTCCCATTATTTTTCAATTAAGCATTCTCAGGTGCCTTCATCTCCAGTAACATAAAAGATTAAATTCAGAAATAGGCAAGAAAAAGTAGAGAGGGAGCCACTCAGACAGGAAGCTACTTAGTTGCATAGAAAATGGCCTCGCCCTTTCCACTGACTTTCAGTTTATTTCTTCCTTTTCTTGTTTCAAGAGAGCTCCCTTCAATTAAGAGTCACAGTGCTCCTGCAAAAGCAGCTGATTGCACTTAGCTAGATAACACTGATAAATTGTATCTTATTTTAAATAATGGCTTATCTCAACTAGAAAGGAGTGCCCCAATCAGGCACTACCATAAATGACCTACATAATATGGAAGAAAAAGTGCCTTCAATTTTCAGATGTATACCCTGTTCCTATTGGCAAGATGATGGGTTACACTGATAAAATGGATGCATTGCTGTATCTTAAAAATGGTCACTGTAGAAAGGGAAAAAAGTTTTCTCTCTAGAGAAAGCTTGTCTTGCAGAAACATGGACAAGGGGAAGAATTTCAGCCATGGGGAAGAATATGCATATAATTCCAAGAATTCACTTGAGGGATGAATTTTGAGTTTTAAAAAAAAAAAGTCTTAAAAAAAAATGAGCACCTGCAGGCTAACTGACCAAAGAATAAATAAAAAAAAGGAGTTAAACTTCCTGATTTTGTATGTTCAGCACTTTTATATCCTTTTGGTCTTCAAGTTCTGCTCTTATTACAGAACATCTCCTTACTGCTACCCCTAAATCTTACTACTGTTCACTTTCTAATTTCTTATTAGTTGTCTTATTTCTTTATACTATGATCAAAGTTGTCAGTACTTCAGAAATGTTCATTTAGATGAGGTGATGTGACTTATTCTTCAGCGCCTTTGCTTAAAAAGAAAACTATCTACCACATCCGTGATGTCAATTGAGTTGCAGAGAAGAGCATAAAATATGAATCTACTGAGTCTGCCTTTCCTTCTGCAACCTCATCAAAAGCAAAAAAGGATTTGCTCAATGACTCTAAAGTTAACTAACGTAGTATAAAACTTGTGAACACCGTATTCAAAGGAAGAGACGCCAGTGACATATCCCAAGCTCACGGGAGATAACAGGGTTCCAGTCTCTTGGGGCAATTACAGCTTCTAGCAGAAAGCAATGGCTATTAGTGATGGCACAACGTGCAACACTGCATGCTACACCATAGGATGGGTCAGCTGAGTTCTGGCACTTAAAAAGCTATACTGCCTGAAATTACACTTGACTTTGTACATAGTTAAATTAAACTCTTTAGTTCTAAAGCTACTACCTGGTAGCAAAAGTATTGCTAGAAAAGCCAAACCCAACCCAAACCCCAGAAAAAGTCCTGAAACAACAATTACTAAGTCTGAAGGTAGTTAGGTCAGTATTAGATTAAAACTGTAACTTGCCACAACTGCTCCTTAAGAAGAATACTTTTTTAGTAATACTATTTCTATCTGATTATTCCTTTCATTACTCATTGTACTGCTTAGATACCATGATCTAGATCAGAGAAAATGGTGGCTCGACTTCCTAGCAAAAGCAGATGCAGACACAAAAACCACCATATAATCTCTTTGACAGAGGAAACAATGAAATATATCAATGAATTAGGAAGCCATCCTCACTGTAGGCTAAAGTCATCTATGTGGGGGATTAGCAGGAAAATCTGGTTTAGTTCTGTTTAGCTCAGAACAGGGAGGTAATCAGTCAGAAATAAGTGCAGAAAAAACAGCTGTTCTAACCAACACGGGACTTCTAGCCATGTAGCTAGTCCTAACTGATACTGTTCTGATAATACTGAAGCTAGAATTTGCTAGCATATGTAAAGATTTGGTTCACTTTGTATACATCTTTTGTGTTGGAAACAGTACATTGATGTGATGTCTGTTTCTTTAGGGAGAACTAGAGGTAAAACTCCAACTTCTCTTGTAATTTCGAGGAAGTCTTCACTGCCAAAAAGCCACACTGAGTGAATACTAGGCACATGATTTGCTTCTAGTCCTCATTTTATGAATTCAGAAATGCTGTGTAGCAAGGAGTCCCTCAACAGCACAGTAACAGGTTTTTTTCATATTACTAAGGTATTGCTCTATAAAGTGACTTTTCAAAAGCAGGATTAGCTGATGACCACTGGTAGAAAGGTTTATTTCTGTGCAATCTTTCCAATTTTCACTTAGTCATTGCCACCATTTTCTGCAAAAGCTAAAAAAAGCCTAAAAGTTACCTTGATTTTATAAATAAGCCTTACTTTTTGGAACTATTGAACCCCTCATCACAACAGTGAAGCCAGGTATGTAGCTGTTCTTAGACACCTAAAGTGGCATTCCTGGATACTGAAGCACCCCTAACTGCAGGCCACACTTGAAACTCTAGAAAATAACCTTACTGTGGAGATTGTGCCTCTTTCTTGGAACAGTACATTGTACAGGTATTAGTGAGCGCAGCATTTCATACAACATCTTGTATTTTAAATAACAACACATTAATTATTCTAGAGGCAAATCTAGACAAATTTTAGCCGAAATGTTTACCAGGAAAAAACAGCCAATTATTTTGAGGAGCTGTTATCAAAAAGGTAAGTTTGTCTGTATTTTAGCCAAGCTGTATAGAAGCTCTACTTTGAGGATAAACAATGCAGGCTAGAATATATGATTGCTGTAAATTACTTCTTGATAAAAAACTAAGGAGCTCTGTTTCACAATATGAGTAAAGCAGAACAGCACTGGGAAAACTGCCTCAGGAAGTCCACACACAATATAAATCATAGTCAGATTTTCCATACCTTTCTAGACACAGGAACTCCTAAAATATCAAACCAATGTGACTAGAAGTTGAATACCCAGCCGATAAAAGACTCTGCAGACATATTTCTCAAAACAGACCTGTAAACTACATATGTATGTATATAGAGAGATCGATATAGATATATTTTATAAGGAAATCTGAGGAACAGTATGGTCTCTTAATGAGATTTCCTGGACAAATCCAAAATGAAAGCTAAACTAATTCTCACTAAAAGCTACACAAAACTCACCAGAATTTCCAGTGAGAGATAAAGATCAGTAATAACAAAGATGCCTCTTTGGCTCTTAGAACTTGCTGCTCAACTCTTAGCCATGCAGGTAGTTTATTTGTACATGGACTTCTCTGGAGACATTTCTACTTTGTTATATCTACAGGCTAGTAAATAGTATGCATAATACTTTTTTTTGGTGATGCTCACATACTACTTATTACAGGGAGATTGTATTTTTGATGGGGATTTGCAGTATACTGCACAGTATAAATACTGTAATAATAATATTAACTTTTTTCACCCAGCTTTTTCTTCTTTGTACATTGTATCCCACTAACAAAGTACTTGAAAAATTATTTCATCCTTAACACCTGTGTTGTACACTAGTAGGTATCATTTCTTCTTACATTTTTAAAGAAGGGAGATCTCCTCATGCTCTTTGATTAAATGGCCTGATCCAGGGTCAATGGCATAAATAGGAGGCTTTACATGGGCTTCAATGAACTATGGATCAGGATTTGAGATGGAAATGCAAGATGTCTGTACAAAAGTGCTACCCTCAAAAATACCTTTTGTCTGTTATCAATATTAAGGATTTCAGATCAGTTATGATTAATAGCAGCCATTAATCTTATGATTATATTCTTATTGTAACCTTCCCTGATTTTAAATTACGTGGTGGGACTCACTGATCACTGACAAAGGAAAGAGCTCAAACCTTCATTTGCATGATAAGGCTTGGGTCCCAGGAAACATGTCTCCCATCATGCATTCCATTCAGAATTTCAACATCGTCTTCTGCTATTGTAAAATCAAACACCTATGGGAATGCATATATAGTTAACATCATGAACACAGACAGAATCAGGAGTGTTTCTGTTATTTAAACTGACCAAGATTCATTTAAATGCGAGACAGAACTTTTTCTGTGTTTTTCCTTCTGGAAATTCTTCTTATATTTTGTCATAGACAAATAATTCCATTAAGCTGATGGGCTCCACTGGGTCCTTTGCTCCTTTTATGACTTTGTTAAGATGGTTTTGTACCACTCTGGCCTCAGGCAAGGGTCCAAGAAAATGGTAGCATCAAAGCTGTTTTTGACAGCACTCTATATGGTCATTGCCAGAGATATATGAATACCCTGACTGCAATCCCTCTGGAAACCTGAGCTCAGTATTTCACTTACATCCCAATGTTCTGAGTGTTAAGAGTTCTTTTCCTCAGAACTTTAGCCAAAGAGAATTACTAGAACGTATCAGGACATTCATAAAGCTAGCAAACCAAAGGCTATATCTATCTTTTCCATGTGTACTTAGACAAAACACTCACGCATCAGCTAATACAGAAACAGATACAGTGCTATAGTGCCTCAATACGAACTTGAAAGCAACCACCTGTCTTCATGCATAGGTTCTTACAGCCACCAACTTCTCCTGTTGCAAGACCTGCAACATGAATGACGGCGTCAGTGTTTTCTTAGCAGGTGTCTTATTCAGACATCATCATTTCAGAACTGAAGTTGCTTTAAGTTGGTCTGTTGTCTTTGTCAGAGCTCCACCATACTCAATAAAAAGATCCTGTGGAGCCTGAACTTGTGCCAAACGAGCTCCTCCCATCCTGCATTATCCAGCAATCACTGTCTGCTGGAATGACCCTTGTAGTCAAACCTCAGTGCTCAAGCTTTTTAAACCTAAACCAGGGACCAGTCACAGAACTAGAAATACTATATATTATATTAGATACTGAGGGCTTAGTGAGACCCATGCTTTCACCAACTTGACTAGAGGTAGTAGAGACTCAGGCCAACACACTGGCATAGGGGAAAGAAAAAACAAGGGAGATGTGATAAACAACACTCAGTAACTGTGCCAGTTCTCCCCTCCTCCTCTCCAGCCTAAGTGTTTTAAGTTTTGCTGCAATGCATTCCCTCAGTTGTGCAAAATGTATTTGTGGGGCCATAGAATGAACTCTGTAAAAACCAGAATTAATCTGGATTTAAAATATCATTAGGGACAATACAATAAAAATAATAAGGAAGGATTTTTAACCTGGTTTTGTTCTCTGATCTGGTTCACAATACAGTGCACACACACACAGATTTAACTAGCAGGTGCAAACTTTCTTCCTGATTTGCCAAACACTTCATACCCCTACAATATTTTGGAAAGTAACAATAAGGTTGTTGTGGTTTCCCCTCCCCAAAGAAAGCATGAAGAGTAGTAATGAAGTAGTAATGAATTAAAAACATTAGGTATGAAAAGGAAATTAAAAAAAGGGTGGGGGGAATCATGCTGCTAATCCTCATTCGTTCCCTACTTTTCCTTGTTCATCCCCTTCATGCTGGGACCTTCTCTGCAAGTCAAGTAGAATGAAAAAGGTAAGGGAAGAGTCAGCTCTGGCAGGACTGTGATTTCCTTAGAAGATCTCTATCTGGGATATCCCCAAGGGAGTTTTACAGCTTTCATACAGTGTTATCCATAGCATACAAACTCCTTGTGTTTGACCTGTATGCCTATCACAAGAAGGACCTAACCATAACCAGATTAGGATACTCTGCAATCAGCCAAGTAAAAAATAAAAATATTAATAATAAAAATCAACTATGAAAGGTCTTTCTATGGATACCTTTTTAATACACAGTGATTAGCTCTCCAGGTGATTTCTGACGTTTGTAAATTATGGTTTTCTACTATATATTGTAGTAATTTTATGGTACTCTAATTTGCAGGTTTAACTGAGTTGCCCCAATATAAAATTGGTATAGGAAAATGGGAAGGCAAACCAAGTATTAAAAACAGTAATGTGAACGTTCGTCAGACTTGAGTGCATAACCAAATCTTACCTTGCAGTTTTCCTCTCTCCTTTCTGCTTTTGTGGACTTTGGAATAGTGACAATCCCATTCTGAAAAACATAATGCTTCTCGTCATTGAAATTTACATAGTTTCAAAGAAAATGCTCTCTCTCCAAAACATTTCAAGACACTCCTCATGTCTTCTGAGGTTTTAATTTCATTTTTCAGAGGACACTGACATTTCTATATGCTATTTTCAATTGCAGTTATATACATTGCATTAAATTCCAACACAGATTATGTTGTTTATGTCAACTTAATACACTATTTCACTGCTTAGTACTTTGTGTTGAGTGACAGAAGTGGAAAGATGCACCATACTGCTTGTAACATTTAGTTTGAAAACATCTCTTTTATTGGTGGTGCTTTTTATTCTCTACAATCAGATTATTTGCATATTTAAAATACTACCGTGCTTTGCATACTACATTCCAAATTTCTAGTACACAGTCAGTTCACACGATATCAACATACTGAAGGCAAAAATATGTTCTGTATAAATTCTCGTTTGATGCACAAACCCCAAACTATTTGCATTTTTTTTTTCCCCCTGAGAGAGGAGACATGTTTTTATTACCACCCTCCATTACCTGTATATTCCAGTGTATGCAAATCTGTGCTGGGGTTCTGCCATATTTCTTTGCCAGCTGAATGATACTAGGATGAGTGAGTACTTCACCTTTGGCTAAAGGACAGTAGCCTTCAAAAACAATATCTCTGCTCCTACAATAACTGACCAGTTCCTGGGGTCTTTGGAAAGGGTGGTATTCAACCTTAGATAAATAGAAACAAACTTTTAGTAAAAACCTTGAGAGTACATATATTAGAAAACATAACTGATAAATGAAAATACTTTTTCTCTTGTTTTAAAAATACAAGATGAGCAAAATCACTGCTTCTGGGAGACAGATGTAAGTTACCAGTTTTACAAGACATGTGAAAGATATTAATCCACAAGCACTTTGCCATTAATTGGCACAATAGTTTACTATGTATTTTATGTTTCCCCAAGAAGTAGGGTGCATGGAGCAGTTGTCTGCCCTACCTGCAGTTAGACTTGCAGAAATATATGAAAATGCATAGTGGAAGTCAGCATCAGGTCATTTTTATTGGTGATTTGAGACTACCTTCTCTTTCACAAATCTACTTCCTTTCCTGTTTCTTTACTAATGATCTTCGAGCTGCACAGGCAAGGGGAGAGGGCTGCGCAGGGACTGGGTTTACAAGAGACCAACCAGAACAATTTGCTTAGGATGAGAACCTGACCTCAGAAGCAAAGCCTAATGGCATGGATTGTACATGGAAAATCCTGTATTCTGTGTGTGGTGTCACCAACAGCTTATGCAGGGAAGCAACCATGCTGCGGAACAAAGTGTGAAGGAGACCCTTTGTAGGAAGGAAGATCATAGATTGCCAAGAACCAGTTAAGAGAGGAAAAGTAACAAGCTACAAAGACATAGTTGTTGGAAGCAAAAGGAAACAGAAGTTACTGGAAAGTAAGGATCTCAGAAGAGCCATGTATTCTGGCATGTAGCAAAAGCCAAAAGAGAAACTCTGTAATATTCCCTAATATGTCATTTAAATAAAGGATTTCACAGTTTATACGTTGTAAGAAGCATACCTTCCTCTGCATCCAGATGAAAATGGGTAGTGTTTTCTTTTATAAAATACATAATTATGTGATATATTTTTGTGACTGGTCGTCACCATTGTTCCAGTGATCTAACTGTTGCGCATTTTGAAGAAAAATACTCTTCTGAACAATTACCTCAACACATGGAATCTGGAAAGTTTCTTCTGCCACAGAGAGGACAAATGAACATTTCCTGTTTCTCATCTTTAGTACATGTTGTCTTTTCAGACAACAATAGTCGCGAACAATAAGCTGGCAGTCGTTCAATAAGTGCTAAGAAAAAACTGTGCCCCTCGAAGGCTAGGCTGAGTCAGCCTAAAGCTGCTATGATCTAAATTACTAGGTGGACTCGGGAACACAGTTCAAGCAGCAGACATCCATGTCTTCAACCTTTGATGTTACTTGACCTTTGAGTAGCCTTTGTATTTCATGTTTGTATGTGTAAGACCAGTGTTTAGGTCATACAGTTATTCATGTGTTGGCACCTGAGCTGACTAGAAAATATTCTCATTGTTTTTGTGCAAAACTATGAGGGGGGGAGAAAGAAAGAGCAAGCAAAGTGTATTACTCAATTATTACAATAGTAACAAGCAATTTTAGTAGACGTTCTTTATGTTAAGTGTAACAAATAACATAGCCTAGAAAATATCAAAGAATGAGGTATTTAGGATCAAATGCTGAAAAATCTGCAGTACTCCTATGGCATCAGGTGACTTATTCAGCATTTACTACTAATATAACTGCAAGCAGAATTTACCTGCTGGTCTAATAAGATTTCTAGGCGGCACAGTTCCAGGTACACCAGAAATACTTAAAGCAAGAAGAGCATGCTGAGATGTCACCTGCCTGCTCCACAAGCAGAACACACAGCAACAACTACTGCCCACCTGGGAAGATTATACTTCGTGCCTTTCACTGCATCAAGAGACTCCCAAATTTTGTGAACTGAATTTTGGCACATGCAGTTGTGTGTTGGTAGCAGCAAGTATTTTTCTTCTTAAATATACTTCTAAAATAATCATCTGCCTAAAATAAAATAAGCACTTCCGAATTTATTTTTCTTGTGAAAACTTTCTGGAAGGTTCTAGCAGCATCTGAATGCAAGGGACTAGCATCCTCAGCTAGGAGAGGTAGAGGGTGAGTGGCCAGCATGTGCTTCCCCTCAAAATAATAATTCCTACTTCCTGGCTTGCCCCACCCTTGCTATTTTAGTCCCCAAACTTCTCTCAGGCGAGGGCTGTCCGTCATATGGTGGTAGAGGAAGATCTCAATCTTTTCTGGCACTCTACCCTGAGTGATTTGTGCGTAACAACTGGCATTTATTTAATAAAACAGTTTGCAGTTCACATTACAGAACTCTTCACAGCTGCTACTTGGTCAGCCACAGGGGAACTCTAAATAAGCACTGTTTTTTACGACAGTCATAGCGCAATTAGGAAAAGTTGAGCTTAATAACAATCCTGACACACGGACCCAGAAAGGTCATAACCCGGATGATAGTATACAAAAGCCTTACTCTTTCCACCCTGCTATGGGTTCTTTTCACCTGGTAAACTTTCCCTGCGTTTGGACTTCAGTCAGTTTCTCAATGGGAATGCAGAGTCTTACAATTATTTCTCTTTATAAAACTGAAGTATAAGGCTAGAAATGTTTTCTCTATAGAGGAACAGTTCAGGTGAGCTTATGTACAAAGGGTTTGTTTCCTAATGCCTCAGTACACTAAAATACATTTCTACCTTTAACAAATTTACATCATAGACCTCAATATTAAAGGCAATATTAACAACATCACTAAATCTCTCTGAGGTCATTACACAGTAGCTTGCACTTCTTTAAAAGTAGAAAAAATTTTGATGAGCATTCCTACATGGAATTCAGGGACAAACAGTTTATACTTGGTTTCAGTGTATCACTTCATTAAATGAAACATATATTAATTAAATTCTTATAAAATGTAATTGTTTTTCCCTAATGAGCAACAGGCATAGGAGCCTTGAAAGAGACTTCAAAGACTTCCTTGAGCATAACTCCAAGCTTACTACTGCAAAGTCAGTTACAAACTCTGGAATACAAACCTTTAACTTCTAGGTTGTAAGTTTCATTCTACATGATAAAATACTTATCATCATTTTACAGTGTTTAACAGTATTTTTAACAGTAGATTGTAATTTTAAAAGGTGCTTACTTACTACTAAATACCTTAACAATACTGTACTCTTGAAAAGACAGGCCCTCCCTACTTCTTTAAAAGCCATGATGATACTGTTTTTTTTCAGGAACCAAGAAGAGAGGCAGTACTTACAACTTGGTCTGTAAAATAGAAGCATTGCTTACTACCTGGTTTGCAAAGATTATAAAAGTCTAATAAATAACCTCCTTTCTCCTGCCTTCCTACTTCTTCCTCTTCACAGAAAACAAAAAACCCTTTAAATTTTTACATCACAAGAACTGTTGGAATTGTAAGAACACCCTAAATTCTCTATACAAATTTAACACAGCTAAGAGGGAAGTGATTTTCCTTCACTTGTTTCTTAAATATTTAGACTTTGTATACAATGATTGTTTGCAAATGTTTTGTATTTAGAAATATGCTACTTTATGCATAAATATAGCAAAGATCTTTTGTATTTTAAATTCTGGACAGTGAAATGAGAATTCAGTATAGCACTTCCATTCCTAATTTAAATTTAGGAATTCATTAGTTATTTGATAATGCTTAAGTAATCTCACCATCAGACTCAGCAAGTCTCCAACACTAAGCAAGAAACAGAATAGTCTTTTGAGGATAACCTGAACTACGGCTTATAACATTCTTGTAATTCTAAAAAGTGTAAATTAATGCTATAACAAAACTGTTCAAAGTGGAGCAGTTTGCAGTGGCATGGATATTTATTTCATTGCTGTTTTTTTCATTTTTCATTTGGAACAATGCTGTGCATCACCTTAAAGAAATGACTGAATACAGCAGGGGCACCCTCCCAGCCCCCAGTATCACTACTGTCTCAACTTTTTGTCTCCTCTTTTTCAGCAACAGAAAAAAGAGATGCCATCAAATAGTATCAAGAAACAACTTTTCTCCATTAACACTACTGACACAGTAAGACTGGTAACATTTTGACCTTGTGGGTAACAGGAATTTTCAAAACAAATCCAAGATAACTTTTTTTCCTTGCAGTGATTTAGTAGGCCGTTCTCATTTAACAGACAGTAACAACTTATGCCAAACTCCAGTAAGACTTTGAAGATGTATATTTGTGAAAAGGAGACACAATTGAACCTTGGCAAACTCACTGATTCTTAAACAGTCATCCACCTGCCCATCTTAAGACATATTTCAATGGCTTATTTTGAATCACTGAATTTAAATACCTTATATGATTTTACATTAATTTAACATTACTCATAATTGTCCTTTAGTAACCTTTAGTCTAGTGGACAGCAAAAAATCAGAGATGTCAGGTTCTGACAGTCACATTCTGAGCAACCTTTTTACAGCTGTTTAATGACATTAAACCACAAACAGCTGCCAGAAATCCTCACCACCTGTACAAAGGGAAAAAGCATGCACCTGCACTTCAGCCATTCCAGTTCCCAGTTCTACATCAGCATAAGCACACTTTCACTGGCAGGAGGTGGTAGGAATGGGAGCGTGAAGTTCCAGCACAGCTGTAGGCAGAAAACTGCAACAAGGGAATAGCTGTAAGTGTCCTGGAAGTCAGCTGGTATGTAGGTGGCCATTTTTTATCTACCTAGGACAGCAAAAAAATTTTGCTAGGGCTCTCGCAGCACCCTCCTAAACGAGAAGTTCACTGAATTTAATATGAACTTGAAATATGAATGAAATAAAGGGGGAGCAAGGGAAACAGCACCCTTGCATGGATATGTAATCACCTGAGGCTTTCAGTGTTGCTTAGAGGAATTACATATAGTATTTGAATAAAGGCTCTCCAAAACCTCGTTCAGTCTGGAGATGCTAAATGTTCAGTGCTCCTTGAATTTTATTTCTGAACTGTTTTATCACCAAAAACTGGCACGTGGACCATTTGTTTGTGCCTTAAAACCAGACACAAACAAGTAGCCTGGGAGAAACTGGGGGAAAAGAAAGGAGGAAGGACTTCCCCTCACTTTGTGTCATCTTCCTGAATGGTTTTCAAGGCATATATAGAAATGAAAGAGAAGAAACTGTATGACTAAGGCTAGTTTGGGTGTAGTCTTTCAGGCATAGGGGTGGTGATTTTTAACCCCCCAAAAAAAAAACCAAAGCAAAAACCCAAACCCAGATACTTTAAATATATTTATCCACTCACCCAATTAACATGTGGAGTAAGCACAGAGTCTTCCTTTAGTTGCTCAAGATGACTGATAAGAAAGTTGCTTACACCAATTGATCTACACAAACCTGATGGAAATAGAAAAAGTTTTGGGACAATCCTAATTATTTGGGAGCATGATTTGAAAAATACCACTTTCAAGAGACAAAATGATTGTACTTGTCATTTCTGTATAGCAAAATATTGCAAAGAAACACAGAAAACCAGCACCAAAATCTAGTTTGACAGTATTATCTGAAAGCATGTTCGTCACAGTTACACTAGGAAATCATTCTATAATCTAAACACACTGGAAACTCCCCAGTGTATAAAAACTCCAGGCTAAATTCTGGGAAAGGCTAATGTAGTATAAGCAAAGAACAATTGGACTCCACCAGAATGAAAAGAAGGAAATGGTGTTCCGAGCAGCTTGCCAAAACTAAAGAAAAGTGGAACATTTGCTGAAGACTAATAAGGTGTGAGCAATACAACACAGGAACATGCAGCCCAAATGAACTACGTAGCACTGGTTATATTTTTATTAGATCATTATGAGATGTTATGTAAATCTCAGTATAAAAGCTTCATTTAAGTGAGCAGTATCTAACAAGAACCAAGAAGCTTAAAAAAGTAGCTAGATTTCTCAGCTCCTGTTGACATGCAAATAAAGTGAAATGGCACATAGGTGATACAAAGGTTATTCTTTTAAATAAGCCTTAAGTGTGCATGCATGTGTATAAATTAAGTGCTGACAGTCCTGAAATCAGATGTCTTCCTTCAAACCTCAGGTACAATAAAGCACAACTCCCAGTATTGGCCTGCCACCACACCTCAACCCTGACTCATCTTAGACAGTTTGGCCCTTACTCTGTGCTAAACACAGTTAATAGGGAAACCAACTGTGGCCAGGCTAGTAGGGGTCTCCTTAGGTTGTGGATTCTGTGGACTATGAATCAGACTCATTTCTTCAGTATGTGAACTTTATCTTGACTGACTTTCAATCTGTAACACTGCAGGTGGCAAGTCTGTCTCAAGGTATGCGAACATGGAAATCCAAGCGCTGTTGTTAATTCAGTATTTATGCTGGCCAGTTCTGTATAATGTATATGCATATGCTTATCTATATAAATGAATACAGGTGTCTGTAGCAAAAAATAAGGGAATTAAGCCAAAAGTTATACTGTTATTTTTTTTCAGAACAAAAGGCAGCATTGGGCAATTTCAGCCATTTGATGTCAAAGGAATGATTTCCGGACGGAAACTACCCTCATTCCACAGTTAGAATCACCACTTTCTTGAGGTCAGCAAGGAACTATGTGGGGCTGCCTTAATTTGAAGCTGCAATACAGACACATAAAACCCACTTATTAATGCAACTGAGAGGCATGATTACATTAAAAGGAAGAATTTCACTTGAAGCAAAAGCTAACGAAAATGTTGGAGAAAAATGTACTAACTGTACTTATTCCTAAAATGCCTATGTTTTATGTATACCCCCCCCCCCCAAGGAGACTATAAATTGGGATATAAAAATATGAGCTATAAGGTTACAAAGTATCTTGAATCTGCAAGTTAGATTTACCTGGACAAAACAAAGAAATTAAATTTTTCTAGGCTTCTATGAATTTCCATAAATGAAGTTACAGTTCATTGCTAATTATTATAAACAGATTATTAAAGCCGTGGAAAAAAAACCAACAAAACAAACCAGTTTTGCATCAGGAAAGCCACTAACCATATAAATATGAGCAATGACTGCTATGTTGTTTTCACATATTTCAGCAGCACAACCAGATAAGCTGCACAGCAGCAAAACCTGCACACATACTATCACTTTTTAATGTGGTTTCTTTTGTAGAATACAAAAAGGAGAAAAAAAATACATTAGCAACTAAAATGCTAGACAGCTTTCCTTACAGAAATTATCCTTGTTCAAAATGTATAACAATTAAGTTATAACCTGCACTTTGCATCATTTGTATGTAATCTGCCAGAAGGTGCAAAACCTGAGCTTCTACTGAGAAACAACCCTGGAGTGTCAACACTAATAAATCATTATGCCAAAGAAGTCAGAAAAAAACCACTTGCAGTTTTAACACAATGGTGAACCAAAATATACTCTATTGTTGAAAGCTAAGGAGTTACAAAAAACATGCTGCTATTGCCCTTGAAGAATAAAGCTTTTATTTCAGGCCAAAATAAAACAAAACTCAGACATGAAATATGAAATGGCTTATTAAACTTGTCCATTTCCACAGAAAGCTTCCACTCCCCCCCCTGCAGCATACTCTAAGATGTTTTGCTTCTAGCACACTTCTCCTAGGAGACTTTGAAGCCTGTTCCATAGTCTCATTGCATTCACTGATAAGTTTTTTGTTAGATTTCCCATCAAGAAATTTTGGGTCAGTTATGTTTTGTCTTAAAAGTAATCTGAGTTGCTCCTACTGAAATCAGTATTATGACATTCCTGTGTTTAGAGTGATGCCACACCAAGAAAACTAAATTCAAAATTGGCAAGAAAGCAAACGTTTTCCCACACAACAGAGAAACAGCAATTAGAATTCCAATGTCTTTGTGAGAACCAGCATTTTCTTATTTTTTTTTTTTTTTTAAGAGAATACAACTAAAACATTTCATTTCATTAAATCCACATATTTAGTTTTGGTGAAGTTAGGACCCTTTGTTTCGACTCCACTGCTTTGTTTTTAGTTACAGTCTAATACATGAAAGTCAAAGTGTTTTGACTTTTGTATTACATTACAATATAAAATACAATAAATATGAAAACAATTGTACATCCTGACTGTATTAAAAATATTGCAATGCATGGTGGAAACATGAATTCAAAACACTGGAATTTCCTGAAAAATAGAGAGTTTAAATTTCAATGAACAATCAATGGATTCTACTCTAGAGCATTGCTTCCATCTGCTTGATGGAAGATTAACACACTTGCTCTGCACTGTCCAAATCTGGGAAAGACTGCCTTAAAGCAGGAAATCATACAGAATTATTTCCACATTTACATCTGCTGGATTAATTCTTAAGAATGAAGAATTGGAAAATGATATACAAGACAATGAAAGTCTAATTAGCTCCTGGGCCTTATCTGACAGATCAACACTTGTGACTATGTATATCAAACAAGATCCATGAAATGATCACATCAGCAGTAGAAATAAAAAAATTACATATTGAGAAACTTGTGTAAAAGGGTGCTGACTCATTGCCTTGAAACAACTGGGGGAGCACATTTCCTTATATTTCCTCTCTCATAGAGCTCTGACAGAGGCAAGTTCCCCAGAATTTGTGCCACAGGTCTCAAACCCACCAGAATGCTCTTGAAGGGGGGGGGGGATGGGTGGAGGAACATTTAGTTTCAATTTAATACCTGTGTAGTGTGCTTAAAAATTCCATTTCAGATAATTGAGGCACAACTTATGTCTTAGCTGTTTTGATAGCAGGTGGTTTTAAAGTCTATACTTCTTAACTTAACCAGTTTAACTAGTCCTGAAGTTCAGGTCTTCTGAGATAAAAGTTTGCAATGTGCTAGCTGCAATCCCTCTAGAAGTACACTTTTAAAATACACATTTATACTGCCTTATTTACAAAGTCACAGAGCTCTGACTCAGGGAGAGAAAGCATCCTCCTCATCTGCCTGAGGAAACGAGTGGTTTGGCCCCTATGAAGCAGATTTTGAGAAAGTGCCTGGTGCAATAAACAAGAAATTTGCAATTCCCCATTAGCTCCCAAAGCTTACTAAGGCTTTGTCCTACTCCTTGCTAGTCTGACTTCACAGGCTTGAAGGAAAACTTGGCAACAGTGCTTCTTTTATGCATACTAAAAATTGACTGACCACAATGGTAGCACAGAAATTTTCATCCAGCTTTGAAAAACTATCATGAAACTCTGCAAGACACATTAGAATACACATTGGCAAAATAACGGTTGATTATAATGGGAAAAAAATTAGTATCCTTTCTATTCTACACAAAAAAAATCTTGGCCTCCACCACATCAGTAATTTCACCACACTGTATTACTCCCAGCTGCTGTGAAGCAATACATCATGCTAATAGACTGCTTTGCAATGTAGAAGTGTACTAAGCTTAAAGCATTTTTTATGGCAACCTAGAGAATGATTGGGTATTTCTTCCTTTACTTAGTATAATACCAAATTATACAAAGTTTGATGGGCACTGTTAGTCTTGCAACAAAAAAAAGCATAAATAGACTGTCTTGGCACCACAACATTGTTTTAGTACAGTAGTGAGCCTTATCTTTCTCTAGCACTACTGTGGACTTTTATCAAACTTCTAAATACCTCTGGAATATTAAACGTACAAAGTTCAGATCAAAAAGGTTTTTTAAATGACAAAACTGGATACTGGGTTTGTGGAGCCCATTTTCCTCCCCCTCCCTGTTGTTCTACATGAGTCAGAGCAAGTGAGAATTCCCATGTCCAGTGAACAGTGCCCATTCTGTTGTATCTTCTATTCAGGCCACAAAATAAAAACACAAATAGATCCACTTTTCACTAGAGGTCATTTGCAGTAACTGTATCTTTATTAAAGGAGGTTACACAGGTTGGAAAGGTCCACATTCTCTCTGATATGCACACTAAGAACTTCCCTGTGGGTAAATGGTATTACTCATAGAAACCATCCAAGATTTGGTTTTAACACAGCTTGCTAAATCAAAGCTGTAGGCTGAGTGTGCCCCACATCCAGATTGCAAGCCAAAGCCTTGATAAATAAAGCAGATGACTCTTAGACAGAACCAATAAGGAATTAATTTCTAAATCTATGAATTAACACTTGTTCCCATTTCACAGACTCAAAAAACATAGTCACCAAAAGGCTAAGTGTCCTAAGACACACAGGAAGACTGTGGCAAAATTGAAAACACAAAAATCATGCTTCCTCCCTGAAAGAATTTCTTTTTATCCTATTCATTACCACAGTATATGTGCTTATCTCCCTTAAAATGACTTTCCTGCTACTACAATTCCATGATCATTACTCCTGCTACAGATCACCTGTGAACAATGATAAACTGTAAGGACAACAGGAGAGGAGGCATGAGTAGA